CTCGACATTCTTAGGAATGATGTTCTTGTGATCGTGAGCCTTCAACGTGAGGGAATATCCATTCCATTTTCAATTCCACTCGTTGCGAGTTCAGTTACTTAGCAAATTTTGTGCACTGGTTAATTTAATATTGAAACGGTCCTTCTATCTAAGAAATCAGATTCACTGTCATTTTATACAACCAATTATATGTCGACCGAATTCTGCATTACCAAAATCTCCCCGGAATTGATCAGACCGCTAAACATTTTCTTAAACCAGTAAATCTCCGATCCTTCGTAAGAAGTTCCTCAGTCCCTAAATAACGATAACTTACAAACTCCAACAAGCTCCGCTTAGAATTCCCTAACGCTCCAATTACCATTAATAAATTTCTAAATTCCACCTCTATACATGCTATCACGCGTCATTATACAGACCCTTTTAAATCAGCCTCATAACACGTATTCGCAAATCAAACTGACACCCGTGTAATCGTACCAAAATGGCTGGTTCTCCACGACGATTAATCTATTCCTAAGACCTGAAATTAAAAGAAAGGGTCAGCCGTGTAGAGGAGAACCGGGGCCCGGGACGTAGCAATTTTCAAACGTTACGGCTCAATGACACCTGACCGATGAACGGGCGGTAATCATTGTCGATTTCTTCGTACACCGGTTTGCAAGGATTCTCCTTCTGTTTCACGTATCGCGGCCAAATAGATAGAGAGAGCGAGAGAGAGAGAGAGAGGGCGATGCGATACGCTAATGAAACCGCACTCTCATTAAAGCATCCAAATCGACGATACTAATTGGCTAGCTTTCGGAATACCCGGCATTATACCTCAGGATGCGATATAATAATCGTTGCGGACGAATTCGGCCCGGACAGCCGGTGGTTAAAGCGTCTAGTAATTTCACGGGCGCAGCCCTAGAGCGATTAATATGATTCCAACGGAAATTAACGACCGCAAACGGAAAAAAGGGAGGCTCGTTGGAGGCTCGACTGACCACACGCTCGTCGACAAGCGGTCCTTCGAAATGAGAGGATCGCTTAAGACACGGGCAATTTACTTTCTTTGGGACGAACGCGTTAGACGTTCACGCGAGATCGCATTAAGATCGTTCATTCTTTGTAATCCTAATCTACGATACCGATTCCGCGCGAAGATCACTCTGCCGACTCGCCTGGGTCCCGGTACAATTCTTCATCTCCATGTTACATTTTCTTGGAAATATGGGTTCTTTGTGATACATTTTTGTGAGTTCGAATTGAACAAGTTGGTGCAATTTTCAGAAAAGTGCAATCAGGTCTCGCGAAAGTTAGTCAATCGGTGAATTCAGACTTGGTGAGCACTTTTTCCCCGGTAAATTTAGGTTCTCTTGAAATATGAACGTAATTCAAGCTTGTTTACAATTTATTTAACGAGGAAAAAACTAGACGAACTTTTTTGAGTTACTTGATATCGCAAGTTCTTCAGATCCTTTTACCGTGTTAGTCGAGGAACGTTTACATTTGATAATCCTTGGTCTGACAACTGAAAATTACTCTCCGTTACGAATGTAACTGTCGTTCTCCTATCTTGACCAGGATCTCTGCCAAGAATCTGACTCGTTGTAAAGTAAAGGATTTACTTACAATCTCATGTCTGCCATTTTATTCTCGCACTAACTTTTCGTTGGAAACGCTATTATTCGAAAGTTGGCATCGTTTACACCACATCGAGTATTTATAACGTTGAAAATAAGACACTTCTCTAATCTCCCCCGGTGGAATACAGTTTATAGTCCGAAGATCTGATTTATAGTCCTCAGCCACCAAACTGTACTCACGTTTCTGAATGTTTCAAACCGTTCGAATATAATCTCGATTTAATTTCGTTAGAAACACCAAGAGCGCGCGCTGATTTTTCCACCGAAAGCGTTCGCAGGTAAATAGCCTCTGTAGGAGCGCGAGGCTGAACAATTGTCAAGCGAAATCATCATGAAATCGCGCGCCTTTCACGAGCAATTAAGCGCCCGCCTATAGGTTCCCAGAAATTCTCACGAATGATGCAATCCCAGCGCGTTAATTCCCCGATAACGAGACACAAAACTGCGGCAATTACGTGTTACGTAGCGCTCTTCGTTGCGGATCGTGGTGCTACGTCGAGCGTTTTTTCTTTTTTTTTTTCTTCTGTTTCACAGGTGAGCGACGTGTGTCTTGGGCGATTCACGTACCCCGATAGAGGCGAGGCACCTACACGTTGTACCTTTATCACGAGAGAAAAGCCTCGCTGTCGTAAACGGTGTAATCCCTTCTTTTTTCTCTTTTTGAAAAAGAAAGTTTAAAAAATAGGTATATAAAAGGAAGGCCAGGTCGGAGAAATATTTACACGCGGGGGTTGGCATTATAAAACGCCTTTCATGAGGAACAAAGTAGCTATCTGGTGGGCAGAGAAGGTGGTGCGCCCTTTGACAATAATTTGTCCAGAATAACCGGCTCCGCTTGCCTCTCGCTCTTTCGTCCGCTTCCGCTCGATCATCCATCCAGCCGTTCGTCATAGGCGCACCGGGGCTTTTAAAAAAGTGAAGCGCTGGACTCGGGCCAGCGCAAAAATAGAAGCAGATGTTGTTAGTTGCGTTCAGCAAGTACACGAACCGCGGCTTCGACGATGGATCCGCACAGCTTTTGCCCCGTGGCAACGAGAAAAAGGGACGAGGAGGGAGAGCTATCGAGCAGAGTGAAGGAAGAAAGAAGAAGAAGAAGAAGGAGTAGAAGGATCACGAGAGTTCCCTTGGTCCCGTCTGGAGGCCAGGCTGATTTCACTGCCCTTGAATTCTTACTAACAGCTCGGTTAGATAAAAATAATTAGCCAGATAAACGCGAGGTGTCGGTAGATGGCGCTTTAGCCAGAGCTGATTTTATTCCCCTTGCTACCTCCTCCTCCTCTTCTTCTTCTTCTTATTCGTCGTTTTCGTCTACACAACGCGCTCTCCCGATGCCATCGACTAAATGTTTTTGCTTTGAAGTCGAGAAGATGAACGGGGGAACCTCCTTCTAATTTCCACTGTCTGCATTCTTAACAGCTGCGGGCACCACGCTTCGATACGGCTGGCGGGTGTCCCGCGTTTAATTAGTATCGTGTTTATGCGTGTCGCGCCGTGCCCTTTCAAGTCAACTCTGTCCGGAGGACAATTTCGAATCGATCGCGTATACATATGCTTCCTCGCGGGTTTTGACAGGGTGAGTTTCTTCAGTTGTGGTCAGTCGTATATCGAGACTCGGCGAGGAAAGATCGCGTGGCGTTCTTTCAATGGGAACGTGACTCGTGGTATTTCGCGAGAGAGTTTTTGTGCTGGTGGAAATGTCGGCGATGTTTTCGAGTGTTGGAAAAATACCGTTGGTGAGAAACAGATTTTTTGTTGGGCTGCTAAGAGAGGGATACGTTGTGTCGTACGTGAACTTGATGAACGTGTTGATAATAGTTTGCTTTGGTCGCGAGTGCCGCGACATTCTTCTGATAGGGACCTTTCCTTAGTCGTTCATTCGCTGTGGAACTGAGTCACTTTGACGAATAGTGTAAGATCACGTTTGAGCTGATTTTATTTATTAGGAATGGGTAATTTTATATTAATTGAGAAAATGTTACTCTTGAAAAGTTAAGTTGTCTAATTTCGCAAATTTTGCGTTAGAAGGTACTGTGTCCCTTTTTTCTGTCTTGGGGAGTCTATTGAGATGATTATACAAGAGTTATTAAATTGTTTTCTGTCATTACTGGAGTCACTTTGATTGCAAACAGAGGATTTAATCAATTACCTTTATTAATTCTTTAAACACAATTATTATTATACGTTTAAGACATTGATAACAACTTTTCTATTCTGAAAATGAACGAGGCACTTCAATGATCTACTACTATCACCTACTGTTCCTAAAAAAAAATTTTTCCATTCCAATTAAGAACACAAGATCCTCAGAAAACATTGTTCAGAGGATTTGGTCAATTATCTCTATTAATTCTTCAAACACAATTATTATTATACGTTTAAGACATTGATACCAACTTTTCTATACTGAAAATTAACGAAGTACTTACTATTCCTAAAAAAAATTTTTCTCGCAATTCCTCATTGCAATCAAGAACACAAGATCCTCAGGAAACATTGTTCAGAGGATTTGGTCAATTATCTCTATTAATTCTTCAAACACAATTATTATTATACGTTTAAGACATTGATACCAACTTTTCTATTCTGAAAATTAACGAAGTACTTACTATTCCCAAAAAAAATTTTTCTCGCAATTCCTCATTGCAATCAAGAACACAAGATCCTCAGAAAACATTGTTCAGAGGATTTGGTCAATTATCTCTATTAATTCTTCAAACACAATTATTATTATACGTTTAAGATATTGATACCAACTTTTCTGTTCTGAAAATGAACGAAGCACTTACTATTCCTAAAAAAAAAATTTTCCTCACAATTCCTCATTGCAATCAAGAACACAAGATCCTCAGAAAACATTGTTCATCTGGTGAATCGTATTTTTCTATTCTGAAAATGAACGAAGCACTTACTATTCCTAAAAAAAAAATTTTCTCGCAATTCCTCATTGCAATCAAGAACACAAGATCCTCAGAAAACATTGTTCATCTGGTGAATCGTATCATAACGTCTCACATTTCACACGTGATCGGTGATGCATGCACACAAATGATATTCCCGGCATTATGGAATTGCGGACGGGACGGAGGCGCGCGTTGCCGGCGATTTCAACTATTAGATCGGTCCTCAGAGAGTTTTGGTCGATTTGCAGATTACGAGTCCCCGGGATGCAAGGCTGACATGGCAGAGGGTTCGGCCGAGGAGGAACAGAGCAGTACCGCTGCGCCCGCTTCCCCGCCAGCTGATCTTCGCACTCTGAACACCCAATTGTCGCCGCCTTATCACCACCAGTCCCATCTCCAACCTCGTCTTCAGCATCTGCAGCATCCCAACATGTTGGCGACCGCCGTGCCGCCCAGGCACAGCCACAGCATGCTGTCTCATCAGGTGAAAACGGAAGCCGAGTTGGACGCGCCCTGCGACGTGCCATTGAATCTGAAGAGCGAGGTAAGTCAAATGAATCTCATCCTCCCTCTCTATGAACGTAATGTACCGTGATCGATTTGGATTCGTTTCTAATCAACGCGGGAACAGCCGGTTCGGGTGAACGTTGTGTTCGTTAATTAGCCGACGAAAGAGGCGTGGCCTCTGTTACGTTTTTCACGTGGAAATCGTTCGACGGAATTTTCGCGGAACTCGGAAAAATTCGGATTTTGTTTTCTTTTGGAATTTTACAATTTGAAATTTGTGTCCTCGAGAATTTTGCAATTTGAAATTTGTGTCCTCGAGAATTTTGCAATTTGAAATTTGTGTCCTCGAGAATTTTGCAATTTGAAATTTGTGTCTTTGAGAATTTTGCAATTTGAAATTTGCGTGTCTTTGAGAAATTTGGAATTTGAAATTTGTGTGTCCTGGAGAAATCTGGGATTTAAAATTTGTGACCTCGAGAAATCTGGAATTTTAAATTTGTGTGTCCTGGAGAATTTTGGAATTTTAAGTTTGTGTCTTCGAGAATTTTCATATTTAAAATTTATGTGTTCTCGAGAATTTTGATATTTGAAATCTGTATTCTCATAATGTTGAGTCACAAGGAATGATAAGCATTCCGAGGATCGATAAAAAGTGGAATGTGAGAAAAGAAGAATGTAAAGACTCCGCCGCACCTTATTTTAGGGAATTAGGAAAAACAGATTTGCAACTGAACTAACGATCACAGGAAACAATTCTCAAGTGACAATTTAAACCTAATTCGGACAATTTTAAGAGAGCTAGTTACATCATAATGTCCAGTGGAATTTTTTCCCTTCTTCTCGTCCACTCAATTACGGTTCAACACAATGACACAAAGCAATACGTAACAACAAAGCAACGTTCAGTTAGACGTTCATTTCTCTGGCAACAACTTTCTCTTTGCAATTTATCCGTACTAATTCGAGCCAGTTTCGACTACGTAAACCAAATGAGACGATTTCTCCCCGTGATCCGTGGGCTTGCGGCGTCCTAGATGATTAATAAGAAAGACCCTCTGTCGAAACGATCGTCACACTCGTTAGTAACGGTTTTGTGTGTCAATGACAACCAATTGTCTGGTTAAGTAGCTGCCGCGCCGCATCCCAACCTAAATCGGCCAATGGTCTCTCTGACCTGTATACGATTAACGTACAAAACAAAGCGTGTCGAACGACTTCCATGTGGACGATTGTGGGGTCAATGTACCACAGCTGATTCTTTCTTGAAAAGATTGCGCAACACGTGACACTATATTACTCTTACAATACATCACATCGTCTATCCATACACTTACAACAACAACAACAGGAAAGTAACTTATTCTATCCCGCCAAAACTTTACGTTTATCCAAGAACGGAAAAAGAAAAAGAAAACAATCTAGACAGAAAATTAATCATTCCGAATTTTTCAACGTATCCTTCATTTACGCAACTGCTCACTCCGATCGATTGCATAATAGAGCACAAGCTGTTGCCTTGCTACACGCACGCGATTCGAAATTTCTACGAATCATAGATCACGCGACTTTACCCGGTTCTGGGGCACTTTCTACGTCTGGTATCACCAAGTGGTAACCGAAAGGAAAAGACAAAGGCGTTATCGAAACCGTTGTACACGTAAGCATTGCACCGTTCTCCCAATCTAATCTCCATACTTGGATACCAGTACTCTACTCCACCGAGCTCGAGCTTTTCAAAGTAACCGTTGGGGGGGGCTGGCGTTTTATCGGCGTTATTAGCAGAAACTGCCAGAAAAGGTTGCTCCCGTTAGCGTATTCGTGGGAAAATCTTACGCCGCGTAGAATGTCAAAGTTTCCTAACGGGCCAGATAGCCGAGTCGCGGCGGTATGCGCGACTTCTCCACCAGCGTGCACACGACATTTGCCTAAGCGTTTGCACACGAGAAACACTTCCGCGTTCCATTCTACAGAGTAAAGTCTAATCACAGTTTCCATGCCGCCCCACCATCGAAATGGCAACGAACGTCGATCATTTATCAGGCTGTAATCTGTATTAGAAGATCAACTCGGGGCTAGCGCACACGATCGAGATCTTTCCTACTTCTAGCGCCACCTACTCGCGTCTACCAGGCTTTTCGTCCATTCGAAACTTACTCCGCCTGGGAGCAGTGGTAATTGTTTATTATAATGGTACGCGGAGTAGCAGCATGGAAAAGAGGGGGCGAGCACGGGTTCGTTGCATGATCACAAGCCGCTCTGGATGTTAGTCCACGGTACGTGGAACGGAGCGAGTTGCGTGCAACGCGCGAAATTAGTATTTATGGGAGGTCTGTTAACGAGCCGTTTTGTTCGGCCCGTGAGCGGGGAATTACTTGGGCGCTAGGCTCACCAGAGAGGTTAGGGTGTAATTCGTATTGATAGCTGAAATTTGCTTGGATAACTTTATTAGGAAACTTGGATCCTTTTTTTTTTCGTTAATTTTTTTTTTTTTTTTAGCGCGCTCGGCTGCGGAACTTTTGGAGAAATGTGTTGGGGTTTCTGTGGGAGTGTCTTTTTTTGAGAAGGGATTTGGTGACAATGTAACATGTTAAGAGATATATTTTGCCTATCATAAATTTTACTGTTCAATTTTACCCAACTAAAAAGGAAAGAAAATGTCATAAAATAGAAAAAAGTCGTCAATTCTTAAAATATCTTAAATCTACCAAGGCAATATGAATTTTACATTATTATTAATCGTAGACACTTGTTCAATTTTACCCAACTAAAAAAAAAAATTCTTTCACATACACAGAAAAAAATCTTCAATTCTAACTACCCACATTTCGTTAAATTCCCTTAAATCTACCATGGCGATATGAATTCGGTATTATTATAAATCGTAAACTGAATAAAATAAAACGAATTTTCTCCACAAAAGAAACTATCACAATGCACAGAGAAAAAGATCCTCCATTCTAATTATCCAGGTTTCATTAAAATATCTCAAATCTACTACCGTTGCTCCGCTGTACACGCGGAATTTCTCGAAAACAAAAAACAAGAGATCCCATTGAAACGATAGAAAAAATAGAGTGTTCGGCGTTAATGTCGGCGTAATCCTAATCGTCGTCGTATTCACGCGGGTGTATTATTAAAGTTCGACAAAAGCGCTTCTTTTTCCACGGCTAGCCGGTTGATTCGTGGGCATCGGGGAACGGACAATTCGTCCGTTCAACAATGCACAACAATGATGCCAATTAGCCGACAAAAGAGAATAATAGTATACTAGGA